CTATGTGTTTATGAAAATTATAGATTCTGGAGCAAGAAAGAGTATTTCTCTGTGAAGGAATAATGTGCATTTGGTTAAGGGATTTACAAATTCACAGTTATAATTTTTATCTTCATTTTTTAATATCTGATTTTTAAGAAATATTTGACTTAATCAAATTCTACATTAAATCATTCAAAGAATTATTTACACAATGGACTAGGTGACTTCTCTGATAATACAAATTTTATTTCAGAAAACTGTTTGTTTTTTAAATTTCTTTGGACTTTATGTTCAGAAACACATTGTTCTGCCAATGTAACTTACAGTAGAAATTTTCAACATGTTTTATGTCCTTAACCTCTTTTACCAACAAGATTTTTATATGGCTAGTTGCCCCAGTTTGCTAATATCCCTCACAACACCCTATTTCCTCTTCATATCCCCCCGCACATTACAAAACTTTCATTAAGTGTATATTCTCAATGCCACAATTCAGTATCTTACCTGTAACATCTTGTAGAATGAGTCATCTTCGCCTGACTTTGGCAACAAGCCCTGGGTAACTTGAGAAGATATAGCTGAAATATACCAAATTGATTATCAAACTACACTCAGGTGAGTATTTTTTAAATTCCAATGTACGAAATTAATACCTGTAAAAAGACTTCAGATGGCAGAATTGGAAGCACCAAAACACTCTTCCTCCTTGGAAATGTTAACTTACCAATAATTACTGAAACAATTACCTTCTAGAATACTTTAGAAGCCAGCTCAAAGACCACCACAGCCCCCAGAAAGCACAAAATAAAAAAGTCATATCAAAGAGGGGGAAAAAGTGGCTTACATTTGCTCAAAATAGCTGCTCACCCTCCCTGGCACACTACAAAATGCCTTTGGGATAACTCCCCATTCTCAGTTTCTTCTCAGAAGAAAAATGAGTGTATTGTGTGTCTGATGGTCTTGATTTCCTGCAGGTGCCTGAGGGACTTGTTTCTGTTTTGAATGATACAGCTTGCTAAGGAAATGGCAATATGCTGTGTAAGCACTGTGGTAGCTGTGAAGAAAAAAAGTAATTGTTCAAGCACTTGAGAGACTGCAGTGCTGACAACATACATCAGGAATGAGAAGGTATCATGAGCTCTAAAATATGTATACACACACGCACACGCACATGCACACGCACGCACAGACACATTTTAAAATGGGAAACTACACAAAACACACATGCAACCTTCAGGTCAAGATAGCGGGTGCAAATAAATGCAGTACTGGTATTCTCCCACAACCACATCAAAAATACAACCAAACTACAGAAAAATCATCATTCAGAACCGCCTGAAATCTAGTTGAACAGAAATTCTACAACTAAGATTGTAGAGAAAAAGCTTCATTGAGACATGTAGGGAGTGCAAAGATGTGGAATGGACTGGTCCCAGGTGGTGGATAAAAATCATGAGGGACATTTCAGCTATACAGGTCAATTCTGAGGAGTGAGGGGTCCCAGTCACACACTAGGCCAACCAACCCAGGGTTCCAGTGTCCAGAATAGATGTCCCCATTACTTCTGGCTGTAAAAACCAATGGGGATTGTGGCCGAGTGTGATGGAGAGCTGCTGGAGTACCAGGCAGATCCTCCTACAGGGCCCACGAATAGATATACTCAGACTCACTCTGAGTTCCAGTGCTGGGGCAGCAGCTCAAAAGCCACCAGGGACATATAGGGAGGAACTAAAGTATCTGGCATTAAGATGAGAGCTGGAGGAGATTTCTTCCAGACAGAAATTTTGGTAGAAGCCACTGTTCCTTTCTGAGCCCTTACCCCACACAGCAGGCAGGCAGGCACCATATCTAAAACTCCATCTGCCTGGTTCACACTACTTACCCAACCTGGAGATTTCCTGAGACTCTGCACCATCAACTTGTGGGCCCACCCCAGCTATTTTCAGTGGCTCTTTGATATAAACAGATTGTCATAGCTCATGCTTCAGACTTTACTACAGTGTCTCAAACAAGCAGCACGTAGCTTCAGTGTGTGCCATACCTCTCACTAAGTGTCCCCAGGCCCAGCATTAGTGGCAGCTGGCCTTGGTTCACAGCTTGGCCTCTCCTCAGAACCTCCAACCTCAGCACAAGTAGCAGCCATATGGAGATCCCTTTGTAAATCATGCCAGGTGATCCCAGGAAGAACACAGCAGTGACTGACCTTGTCTGCACTTTCATGGAGGCCCCAGGTCAGCACATCCAGTGGACGCCTTCAGACCACACTGAAGCACCATCCAAACCACCTCCATAAGCAACAAACTCAAGGGGCAGACTCAGCAGGCACCAGAACCACGCTGAAATAAGTCCTGTTCCATAAGGTGAGTCCTGCACAGCCAATCCTCCACAAGGGTCACAGATTTTCCAGCTGATGAGCCTTGGTGTAAATCCCTCCCACTGAAATTTCAACAGCAAGCAAGGCACAACTACAAAAGGAGGTTATACATAGCCCATACAGTGGTGTGCACCTGGAGTGCTCAGCTCAGGTGAATGGGGAGGCTGTGCCACTGGATGCTGCAAGACATCTACTACATTAGGCCACTCTTCCAAGCCCAGGAGATGTAGTAGCTCTACCTAATACATGGAAACAAACAGAGATCTTTCCAAAATAAAGAGACAAACATGTCTGAAATGAAAGAACAGAACAAAACTGAAGGAAAAAAACAAAACAGAAACAAGCAATCTACTCGATGCAGAGTTCAAAACACTGGTTATAAGGATGCTCAGTGAACTTAGGGAAAGAGTAAATGAACATAGAGAGAACTTCCAAAGCTTATAAAAGAACATAGAAACCAGAAAAAAGAACCAGTCAGAAATGAAGGATACATTAATTGAAATGAATAATAATTTACAAGGAAATTAGCAGTACAGTAGATGAAGCCAATAATCAAAACAGCAACTTGGAATACAAGGAAGCACAAAACACCCAATCAAAACAGCATAAACAAAAAATCACCCAAAAAAATTACAATATTGTAAGGAACCTCTGGGACAACTTCAAGCATACCAACATTCATGTCATGTGGACATCAAAATAAACAAGCAAGCAGAACAGAAAAAGATCCATATACACAGAGAACATTTTGATGGTTGTAAGGAGGGGAGTTGGTTTGGGGGTTGGATGACAAAAATGATGGAAGAAGTACAAACTGGTAATATAATAGACATAAGGATATAAAATGCAGCACAGGGAGCCCTAGCTGGTTTGACTCAGTGGTTAGAGCGTTGGCCGGAGGACTAAAGGGTCAAGGGCACATACCTCGGTTGCAGGCTCAACCCACGGCCCTGGTCAGGGTGCATGTGGGAGGCAACCAATCGATGTGTCTCTCTCACGTCAATGATTCTCTCTCATATCAATGCTTCTCCCTCTCTCTCTCCCCCTTCCTTCCACTCTTTCTAAAAAAAAAAAAAAAAAATCAATGGAGAGCTCAGGTGGTATGGCTCAGCAGTTGAGCATTGACCTTTGATCCAGGAGATTGCAATTTGATTCTCAGTCAGGGCACATGCCCAGGTTGCAGGCTCGATCCCTAGCAGGGAGCATGCAGGAGGTAGCTGATCCATGACTCTCTGATCATTGATGCTTCTATCTCTCTCTCCCTCTCCCTTTGTCTCTCTCAGAAATCAATAAAAATACACTTTTTTCTAAAAAAATCAGTGGAGAAATGTCCTGGGAAAGGATTAACAACAACAAAAAGGTGCAGCACAGTGAATATAGTCAATAAATTATTAACTGTGTGTCATCAGATGGGTATGACATCATCACAGTTATATAATGTCTAATCACTGGGGTGTATAGCTAAAACTTATATAATATTGTATGTCACCTGTAATTGAAAAAAAAATGATTTAAGCACATACACACACTGATTACACTTTCCAGAATAGGTTTGACAGGCCATTAAAAATCTACCAAAACTCATTGTTATTTGTGTTCTCCTGTACAAAGCAAGTTTATAAGGAAAGAGATGGCATCTGCTTCTCATGACCTTAAATAGCAACAAAAGATCACAAGGCATACAAAGAAACAGAAAAACATAGTCCAACCAGAGGAACAAAATAAATCTCCATAACTTGGCCCTATGTTAATGAAGATCTATTACTTACCTGACAAAGAATTCAAAATAACCATCTTAAAAGGGCTCAATTGGAAAATAGAGAAAAAACATAGAAAAGTAAATATTACCATGAAAACTGTATGACAAAATTAAAAACGCAGAGGCCAAAAATATAAAAGAGAACCAAACAGCTCTAGCCAGTTTGGCTCAGTGGTTAGAGTGTCAGCCTGCAGACTGAAGGGTCCCATGTTTGATTCCAGCTAAGGGCAAATACCTCAGATACAGGCTCAGCCCCCTGCAGGAGGCAACCAATCAGTGTGTCTCTCTCACATCAATGTTTCTCTCTCTCTCTCTCTCTCTCTCTCTCTCTCTCTCCCCCTTCCACTCTCTCTGTAAAGCAATGGAAAAATATCGTCAGGTGAGGATTTAAAAAAAAGAGAGAACCAAACAGATATTGGGGGCTGAAGAACACAGTACCTGAGTTTAAATATGTGATAGAAACATTGGCAACGGACTTGATCAGGAAGGAAGAACAAGATGGCCTGGACGCCTCCCCCACTCCCCTCACAAACTACGTCTATGAGGCAGGAAACAGACTTAAAAATTGGTTTCACATAGAATTCACAGCAACATGCGCAGACTCTCCCAGGTACCCCAAAGAAACACAAAAATAACCAGGTAGTACCACCCTTGCACTGTTAGAAGAGGACTTTGGCTCTCACTGCAAATGTGATGGAAGATAAAGGAGCAGGAGAATTCTTAGATGATATTGGAGGATCTGTCCCTCTGAGACAAAAACAGAAATAAACCTCATCCTCTAAAAAAATCATTTCTATTAAAGCATATCTTTCCAAACCATATTTTAAGGTCTGGCTTCCTCTGTGACCTTTGGCCTCCCACCTGGGTCAGCTGCTTCCTTCATTCTCACCTACCTGGGTTGATGAATATTGTCTTTTCTCTCTGCAACTCCCAGGGCTCCATAATTTGCTCCAAAAAAGTAAGGTCTGGCTTAGACACAGCAAGACCTGTTTATTAGAAAAAATGAGTATGAGACTTAATACAGATTCTCCAATTTCCAATCTGGTCCCTGTGCTCGAGAAGATAGGACATTGTAGAATAGTAGAATATTCTAGAAAATTACTTCCCAAAATATTCTTTTCTGACAGCACCTTTACTACACTAGACATAACATCTAAAGTTTCCAGATCCTGGGTTCCACCATCCGTACATCGTAAAGCTTTCCTTTTCGGACCAGCACACACCCTATTACTTTCCTTAAGAACGCAGATCTGAAACCCTACCAAACAAAGCAGAAGCCCCTAGGACACACTGTACTAATGAAGAAAACAAAACCCTGTGGGTAAAGTAAAAATGCTGAAAGGAAGTGGTCCTCACCCAGGAATACCAGGTTCCTGTAGTTCTGCAACATCACATCCATGTACAGTTTCCTCTGAGCTGGGTCCAGGCATGCCCACTCCTCCTGAGAGAATTCTATGGCCACATCACTGAATGTCAACAGTCCCTGAAATG